CCTATAGGCCTGTGACCTTTCTTTTGTTGTCTTAGGTGGCATATTAAAAATAGATAAACATGAAATCAGTTAATATAAAAGTAATATAATTTAGAAATAAAAATAATATCATAATATAAATATAAATATAAAAAGTATTGTAATATATTATAATATAAAAAGTATTACACAAATCTACTCTCGCAATCCATATCAATTGTACTTTGTAACCATAAATGTCATTTCCACCACATGCTGTCATTTCCACCACAGAGGGCAGTGTGGTGGAAATGACTGTGGTGGAAATGACATTTCTGTCGTTTTTTTGTGAAAAAATGGAAGATAGCTTCACTGATTAGCTTTGAATTAATACTTAGCATTTCATGTATGCAAAATACTCTTATTTAACTTAAAATGTGTAGCTTTTTAAAAACACCTTTGAAGGTACAGCATGTTTGGAAATGACGTAGAATAGATATATTAACTGATCAAGCAATATTTACCTTGATTTTTCTTCATTTGTTGTTGATGAAAATTTAAATTCCCTCCATGTCCAACATGTGCTCTGATGTCACTGAACATTTCCATAGAAACCACCTAAACAATCTTTCACACAAACTTTTTAAAGGGACATTACAGTGTTGTGGTGGAAATGACACCAATACTGTGCGACAGCTATATTTTGTATAGAAAGTAATATTGATCGTGGTCTCACATTAAATACTATTATGTATTTTAATTATTTTACTAGTGCTTAATTCAGGTACATTAATAGTTACCAGATAAGTCATATTTTTAAACTGTATTTTCATTGTTGAAGTTTAAAAGTCTGGGTGTGCGACAAGGAGAAAACAGTGATTTTGACACCTATAAGGAGGTTGAAAAGTATGAAAAAATCATAATAGAAAGGTAGTAAAAAGTTTTTAAGGTGGTTTTATTGTTAGTTTGACTAAGAAAGAGGAATTTGTCCAAAATTATATGTATTTTTATAAATATGACCAAAGAACATAAACGTGCCCATAGTCTAAGAATCACCCATATATGACTGGGTTGATCTCTTTAGAGCAAACAACCATCAAGAACCACACAGACAACCCTGCTGTAGTAGGTATAAAAATAATAACTGTTAAAATAAATTCCAGTCAACAGATATTACTGAAGCTCTAACCATCTGTTTTACCACAAAGTTGGTGTTTACTTTTCAGAAAGGTGGCTGTTTTCCAGTAAAGTAAAGGGTCAGTTTGAAATCAACAAAAACAAATTGCAGAAAAATATAGTTAAACAACTCAAATAAATAACTGACAGCAGTGAACTGCTATAAAATGTACACTAATCATAAAGTTTTAACATGTGATAATTTATTACTGTCATGTTTAAGATCTGGGGTCTATGAGACTCAACATTTTTTTCATGGAACATCAAATATATATACAGTATATATATATATATATATATATATATATATATATATATATTAGTTTTATAATATTGGGAATAGTCTTGAAGTATCAAGTTAATACTCCAACACTATATAAGGGCCTTGAGTCTCTCAGACCTCAAATAGAACGTGTGGATTAAGTGCAAGTCAGAACACTTTCCTGACTGATGATTTTTTACTAAACCAATTAAAATTGCATGTTTGTCAGCAGATGTATATCAGTAATGAAGACATATTTGGCTGCACATTTAGAGATTTAACTGGAATGGAGAGCCTATGAATAAGCTCCTCCCAGTGCCTTGGTCCATTACTGATCAGAGGGAAGGATAAAATGTAATGTAATGAATTGTAAAGATTTTCAACAAATTATGCAGCCACTGTTTTCTGCTAATGTAAATAGAAATCATATAATCAAAGTTTTTTTGCTGTCACACAAATAATTTTTGCTTGCTGTCTCTTGCTGTCTAAAAATAAAAATAATCACTTGACTAGGGTCATCCTTCATGTGGCATCTAGTTTTTCACTTTTCAGCCCCAATAGTGGATCAGTGGTTCACAGAGGAATCCAAAGTTTTTTTATCTTTGTCTTTGATGATTCATTTTAAAAATGCATCCCATTTTTTGTGTTTAGATGCATACATTTATTAATGTCCTTTTTTTTATCAGTGTATAACCCAGAATAAAGCACTTAATATTTCTTAGGTGTCTTTAAAATGCATTAAAATTTGTTGTAGATCATTAGACATGATGTTACACTGCATTGAAAGCCAGTTTGATTCCAGATTTCTTAGAAGGAACCTTCATACACAAAACAATGGCCAACAAGGCAGTAAGGCAACTGCTTTAGGTTAAAGCACAGCCAGGGTGCATGCACAGGAGACAGATCCTCACGTTTCACACTTGATAAGTTTAAGACACTTGCCCTTGCAAGAACAGTACAGACTGACACATCCGTACATGTAGCCAAATTGCATTTGGCTGTAGAAAAATCCTCAAATATCTGGGCAGATATCGCATGTCCACACCAGAGCTGACCACATAAGTATGGTGGATTAAGAATAATGGGTGTAGAGGACTCAAGTCATAAAGAATTTATTTAAAGGGTTCATATTATGCTATTTTAAAGATCATCCCAAGAGCTTGTAACACTTCAAAGAGAAAGGAAAACTTGAAATCGCATCATATGACCCCTTTAATACCTGTGAACTGGGTATTAGCTGTCATGAGAGAAGGAGAGGTGGAGCCAGTGCAGTGAGGGCTACTCTTTTTACAGGATTCCTCAAGGCTGAGAGTTTTGATCTAGTGTAGTGTTCAATTCTATTGACATTATTTCTCTTCACACACATACACTAAACTCTGGTACACTCCCACACACACACACATACACACACATGCTTTTTCTCACACGCTTCCCTTAAGTCAGTGAAGTGCATGTAAAACATTTTACTTCGATAATGTGACGTATATCCAGATAAAACATGATATTCAATGAGGAAAAAAATATAGGCAAAATTTTGTGATTTTATCCATCATAAAAATATTAAAACAAACATTATTTGTTTTTAATTTGCAATAATGTGCACAGCTAAACTGTTTAAATAAAATCATAAAGTAACTACGATCTAAACTAAAGAAATCAGAAAGTAACTAGGATCCCTTTTTTTTTTTGTCCAGTTTGATTTCATCATGCTTTAAAGCATTATCTAAGGGGCCACTGTAATAAAATGACTTCCATTTATTCACCATTTTCCTGGTGAAAATTTATAACCATAACCAGTAATAGATTTATGTTAAATTTGTGATTTTCTTGTGAGTGTTTTGACTGGAGGCTTCTCGGGCTGACCAGGCAAGTGGAATGGTGGGACTAAAGAAGTATGGGGCAGCTGTCTCTGTGTACTTTACACCACCGGCACTTTCTCCAACAGCAGAGTAACCATGTTTGTTTACATGTCTTTACATCCCATCATTTCTAAAGGGGTGGGGAAAGAAAGGCAGATGTGTGTTTCTCATCGGCTCACCTGCGGTGACACCATCAGATCCTCCCCCTAAAACTGAGTTACAATGCCAGTGAATGGCTAGCAGGTGCGGTGATGGTTAAACAGTCAAAAATGGGGGAATCAACTGAATAAAGTGAAGGGAGGGGGGTTGGAGAAGAAGTCGGTCATTTTTTAGCAGCAGCAGCTGTATTTACTAGATCTTTTCCGCCAACACCTCAGAAGGAGGAATATATTCTGCACTGAATACTCTGCCTGAAACCACAAGAAGAAAAAGTCATATTCATATTCAAATACAGCTGAAAATGTCTGTGGAAATGCCATCTCTTATCCATATTCATAGTTGGCGCATGCAGCTCTTTGAATCACTCAAGTAGCTGCTTTGCTATTCAGTTGAATTTTACCTTAGACTTAAGCTGAAAGTTATTTGTCAAGAATAAATAATTAATGTAAATTATAATTTTATAAGCACCTGGTAAGCAGTTTAAAACACAATAAGTATCAGGTATACAGGGGCCTGATATTTGGACACTTATATAAATGTCAAATTATGAATATCATTGCATTAGATGGCAAAATATCAAAACCATGTGCAGTTTATTGCTAAGGAAAAACATTTTACAAAACATTTAAAATGATAAACCAATGGATATATAGCCTACAGTTCAAAATGAAGACAAAAAGTATTTGGACACCCTGTGGTTGTCAGATGTTAGCGGAATATGTCCATGATGAGCTATACCTGCTTAGACATCTTGAGAATAACTAATTTACATCCCCTAAATATCATCTTGGGACTAGCAAAAGGATTAGCAAAAATGGTAGCCTAGCCTACAATACAGTTTGTTTCCAGATGTCACTTGCTTTAATATTTGAAATTACCTATACATATAGTTTTACCCCAGAAATACATGTGAAACGACATACCGACAGTAGATGACAGTTATAAATTACTAAAAGTAGGGACCATCCATCAACAGTCTAGCCTACACTTAGACGGGAAAAATTTTAAATGAAGCACGATGCTCCTGAAAAATGAAATGCTCCGTTTGTAACTATGTTATAAAAACGTCATATCTCCCATCTGATTTGAATGAACTCGATCGGTCTTCGGGCACCAGCTGCCTGGCTGTCAATTGCCTGACGAATGAGAGTGTTTGCGCGCTTCACCGACACGCACGAACTGATATGGGGAAACAGCGGCCCCTAGCGGCGTGCGCTCAAAATGCGTTTAAAAACCTGGCAAAAACGCCCGGCGTTGTGGAAGGACCATCAATACTGCTCTCATGAGAATCAATCTGACATTTTTATCAGAGGCAGGGACAGTGCTTACGATCCGTTAAGAATTGCAGAAAATTGTGGGCACATCCTAATTATGTTAATAGCAAGTCTATTCAAAATGTGATATGAATTATATTAGGAATCCTCAATATCAGAGGGGGTTATACAGCACAAGGGAGGCAGGCTGTCAGCTTGTGGGTCTGAGGAGCTGTCACAGAGAGAAAGAGAGAGAGGGGGGGCTATAGAGAGAACGAGCGAGTGAGAAAGAGAGGTTAGGAGCGCAGGAGAACGCTTATCTTCTCCAGATGGTGTTTTAAACGCAGACAGAAGGGTCATTAGACAACACACCAGCTTCCAACCACTGACAACAACAACGAAGATAAACCAAAACGCGAGATGGTGCAGAGCGAAACAACGGAGAATGTGTAACATCAGTTAGCTGGGACACGAATGATGTTTTTAATGGACCGTTTTTTCGCGTGCAGTGTGGAGGGAGTGCGCGGCGAACAGTTGGAGTATTAACGGGAAGATCTCCGAAACACTCCCTATCTGAATCATTTCTGTAGACGAGGACTTTCAGGACTTACAAGAGACAATATTCACTACACTTCTACTTGGAAACATGGAGCATCAGTGGCAATAGCCTATTAAAAACATCTTCTATCTTCTAGGAGGGATCACGGACATCTACTGTGGAATACGATATAAAAACCACCAAGAACGCGAGATCTGAATTGGAGGACTTTGCGATTTGTTTGTGATTTGAGAAATCGAAGCGAACTTTTTTTTTTTTTTCGCCCTGTGCATTTTTTCTACGAAATTTGTTAACGCGTTTCAAGATTTCGACATTTTAAAGGAACGTAATACCAAAGTCTCACTACTTTAATACTAAAGCTTCGCTGTGTTCTAGCTTTGTATGATATATTTTCGATTTCTTGAAATTGAATTACCTCATTATTTATTACTATAACGGAAAGTCAACATCGCAATCCAAAGGAGTTCAGAACTCTCTCTCAGACACTCTTTGATACGATTCTTATTCATATTGGAAAGCTCTCACCTTTTTCAGTGATATTCGAGGCGTAATAGACTACTCTCCGTTTATTTCTGTTTTTATTTTTCGCGTGGATTATATTTGCTGCAAATACCTCAGTTTGACTTCGACCTTCAGAAGTAAGTGATGCCTCTGCTTTATCTATAAATACTTTGTTCGTTCAATATTAACGTTTATTTCTCAAATAGCCTATATGTTAGACTGGACTTGAGCGAAGATTTTATACAATGCTTGTAACTATACAGTCCAGCAATATAGAAATTAAATTACCAACGCAACGACATACCTGCTTTGTTGCGGTTTGTTTTTTATATGCTGCATAAATACAAAATAGCTACAGATATATGAAATGGAAACATGATTGTTTATTTTTTCTTTCAAACGAGTTGTTTCAAATCAAGTTAGATGCTTATTTAAGATTCGGATGGCGACTAAAGTCATCAGGAAGCCTGCTATTATCACTAAAATGATGGTTACTAACATTAATATTAACAAAAATAAAACATTAAATCATGCCAAAATGTATTTCTCCATCTTTCTGTAATTATTTGTTTAGTTACGGTTTATGAAAGGACCACGAAAAATGCAACAAACATGAAGTTCATATTTTGCCAAAACAATCCCAACCTCTGAATTGGAATTTATTAGAGATGATCTAATTCAGTTAGGTCTGGTCTGCCAGAAATTTGCTCACACTGAGCCTATAATTGTTTCACATTTTCTGAAGAGAAAGAGGTTATATTGTTTAGGCTACTTTAAAACAATATATATCTGAGAGTATTAATAATAAACAGAATTGAGTAGAAATTACAGCATATTTAAGCACATCAGATGGCTTTTAAAAAAACAGCAGTTTATAGCAGTCATCAGCCTGGCAATCTCTGCACCTGTTTGTCTAATAAATGGTTAGTCTATAAGAGCATAAAAATGAAGATGTGATCAGGTGCATTATGATGAATTGTTCATTGCAACCTTACCAGCACACTGATGGATGAAACCACAATATGCTCTGTTGCAACATCACTTGTCTTAACTGTCCTTCAGTCCAGCCCAGTCAGCATCCGTTGATGTTACTGCCATTGCACTGCAAACCACCACTTTACTCTTCAACTGACCCCAGTAAAGATCAGCTTAATTATGAATGAACAGATGGTAATAGTTCTCCCAACAGCTAAATGTCTAAAGGTGAAACCGCGCTGTGGCCACAAACTATCCTTAAACATTACCACCAAATAGCCCTTATAGCTTTTACAGGCAAATATCCCTGCTGCATGCACTAAAGCACCTCCACTAAGAGAAAGCCATTCATTAATCGAGTGAGTATTCAATTTGCTTTCATGCCATCTTTAGTAGATTTATATAGAAGAATCTGTATGGGTCAAGTCAAATGGCTCTGAGGAGACACTGCTTTCCATTGGTAATGTGTTGATATGGAGAACTTATTTTGATTGCTTTTGCAGCTTCTGTAATGAGGAGGATTTTTGAAGTCAGTCGATGCTCACTGTCTGCACTTAACGAAACTGGGCTGCGTTTCCCAAAAGCATTGTAAGCCTCGTAACTCCATTGGTGACTGGTTCTATGATCAACTTAGGCTTATGAAGCTTTTTGAAAATGCAGCCCACATCATAATGCTGGCAAAGCCTAAATACATGTGCTTAAAATATTAAAAACAAACTGCTAGTGTAGAAAATTTACAATAGTTTTTTAACCAAAATCCATACACATTTTTTAGTGAAAAACAATAATTTAAAAAGCCATAATGTAAAGTTGACCATGGTTCTGTAATCCTAAAACATTGTAAATAGAAGTCACCTTAGATATTACAAAATGAAACTTTATGATTTGCACTCAATGCAAATGTAGTTTAGAGAGAAAAAAAAAAGTGTATTTCAAACTGTCAGAGCAACACCCAGAACTGATCTGCTGAGAATTTATAAAGGCTCACACTGGTACTATCATGCAGTCGGAGTTTGTCATGTGGATGGTGTCCGTTTCTATGGTTATGGCATATGTCTTAAGTTTACTAGTAAATAGGATGCCCGAGAGTGTGTCCTTGTGGCAGTGCTCTGCAATGGGAGCAGGAACATGGTGTGCACTGGAGGTAATTATTGTAATTTGAGTGCGGGTGCAGGTGAAGTTTGCCGTCTCGTAATTAACGAGAGGAGCAGATGGCGGTGGGCGGGAGATGGGTGCAGGCAGACGGCCGGCAAACCAGCAGGGGGAGGGAGGAAGAGAGAACGAGAGAACTAGGGGGTGGGGTCAGGCACTGATCAGTAAGCACAAGCACCTGATCGGCCAGGTAGCCTGTCACCTGCACGAAAGACGTCACTCACACAACTAACCCCGAGACACGTGGCAGCACTGTACTTAAAATGCCAGTTTATACAAGTATACCTCTTTTGGCAAAAAATCTATACTATGTGAAGAATTAATCAAATCTATAAATATAAGTTTTTTTGTAGTTGCACAGTCGGTTGTGCATTTGGTATCCTAAAAAGGGCTTTTGTGTTCATACTGTAGGTACACAGATTCGAATATGACATGCAACATATCCTGATCCTGTTCACATTGAAGAGAGTGACATAGTGAATAGTGCATGTGTGCACAAAAAAGGGTTTTTGTGCTCACAGGTACACAGTTTCAAATCCTACATGTCCCAACATAGTGGGTAATGTTCTGTGACACAGTGGGTAGTACATGTGCTTGCCACACACAAAGAGCCTTTGTGCTCATGGAGATACAGGTTCGAGTCTGACCTGCGTCATACCCCAATGTTATTTCCTCTATTTTTTGCTCTTTCCTGTTTTACTTGGATACACTGTAATTTGTCAGATCACACACTGATCCTAATTCCTATAGTGCATTAATGCAATTGTGCAGTCACATGAGTCCTGAGCAGGTGAGGACATCTGCAAGCTGGGTTTTTTTTCTTCAAAGTTGCATGTATTGAAAGGAATGCCTTCCAGATCCAGACTGGAAAAGTGCATAAAATAAAAAATCCATAACTGCTCAGTGCACACCACAAAGCCAATGTGTATGTCAGATATACAGAAAGAGACTAAGGTTATGTTCACACTGCAGGTCTTAGTGCTCAATTCTGATTCTTATTGTTCAGATCCTTTTGTTGTCGTTGTTGTTTGTTTGGCTGTTTACGTTATTTTCAAAATGTGGCCAATATCAGATTTGAGTGTAAACTGGTCACAGTCATGAACTGACCTGCATGCCCAAAAGAACAATAACAAAGATGTCACGCAGCATGCTGTCATACAGAAGTAAACATAGAAGCCACTAAAACCAGCATTTACGCATTCATTTATATACTGATGTGTCGCGGAAGACAGCAAATTTGTGCACAAGTAATAAGGAGAGGTAAAGATAAGGTGTAAGAGAGCAAAGTTTTTCTCATATACTTTAATTGTTACAGCTTACTGTCCCTCCAGTGACTACCTTCTCAGCTGTCTTCTATATTCACAGAGTGACCAAAGAACTACTGGTATGTAAAATCTTTGGAGTGACTCCCATCTACACAGAATTGTCACAAATGTCCATCTAGAGTGACGTAAAAGTCACATGAATTCGGGTATGACTATTTAGACTAAGATCGTATTACAAAACATTGGACCTGTATCTGATTTAAGACCACATACGGAAGTGGCCCAAATCAGTTGAAAAGATCAGATTCCATGTGGTTTGTGCTGTTTACACTGTTGAGGAAAAAAAAGGAAACAAAGATCTGAATCAAATGTGACTAGCAAAATATAGGATTTGGGCCACTTTTCCCTGCAAGCTGAATGTAGCCTAAGAGAAGAGACTCAATCAGTCCAAATTTAACACCAGATGAATGTCAAATTTGATTAGCCTTTTAGTTAAATGAGTTGCTGATAAAAAATACTCACATGATCACAACATTGGTATTTCAGTGTGTCTCAATACTTACTCAGGAGTAAAGGCTCAATAAATCCTTCTGTTATGGCAAATTGTCTCAGCAGTCTATCCGGTTGTCCTAATTTGGCAACCCCGGGCTCCGAGCAGGAGTGCCAGTGAGAGGGAGCAGCAGGGATGGGCAAGGGGGCATTTGCCACGGTTTCAGCCGTTTATCCCTCCAAACGGCGGGAAAGACGGCGACGGTGTGGTGAGCACATGTGTTTAACATTACTGTGACATGGTGGCCTCTCTCGGGAGAAGGAGAATGTCAGAGAGCAGAGGAGCCGGCCAGCTTCCAAACATCTGGGGTAACAAAAAACACATTTATGCCACATTGTAGGAGCTGGGAGTTCACTCCTCATCAGTCTCAAATACACTCACTCTACTCACTCTTTCCTTCTCACAAGTAAAGGTGTTGTCCTATCTTAATGACACAATTGGTCAGATTTATAAAGATAAATGCATGTAAAATGGAGAATGCTGTACATGAGCCAGTGTAGATAGACATTTGCTAATCAGTATTAAGTCTGGTCCACACTGCAACTTATTCTGACCAGTGCCCGCCCACTTAGACAGGAAGAGACTGCCTGATTGACATATGAAGTGACCAATGAAAGATTCTTTTTTTTTTTTTTTTTTATCTTACAGAGACCAAACTTCTGAATGGTAGTGTATTTTTTTAGATCCAAAAGAGAAATATGTTGAATTCTGGATGGTTGGTTGTGGACAAATCGGCCTATACATTAATGAAAGTAAATATTTTCTCCTGTTCACATTATGGTTGATTGCTGATCAAGTGCTCTGTAAAGCGTCCCTGCTTCAGCCACGTTCCATAAGCAAGACCTTCAAACTGAGTGGCCTGTATTAAAACATCAATGTTGAATCCCTTCCTGTTTGCTGTCAAAGAGTGTTGTAATTGTGGGGCTGGACACAGAGATGCAGGGGAACGGGCAGAGCATGACAGCCTAGTCACGTGGAATTCC